CACACACCTGATACAGTGATTGAATTGCCTCTTTGGCATGTCCTCAAGTTCTGCAGAAACCTGCTAATCACCCATTCATTGAAATAGATGTGTTGAAGCAGAGACTTGTCATAAAACATGCAGGCTTGTGGCCCTTGAGGACTAGGAAGGGACACCACTTGTTTAGACAGGTTTTCAATCTGAGAATAACACCATAATCCTTTAGATTTTTCCCATTTCTATAGGTGCAAATTTATAATTGTTTTTTTTTTTTCCATAGGGTTAGTAGACATTCGTACACCAAGCAATTCTCTATGGATTACTGTGACAAAAACACAGATCATCATGACACTTCACGTTCATTTAACAATTTTAAACTCTGCACCAACACTTGCTCCAAGCTAGACCAGGACACAAATGGATTACTGCTATTTTAAAACCACTCCAGTGGCAAAGGTTTTATATTAGTTCATGCTCACAGTATTTTGTAAATGTTCACATTGTTCTCAATTTTTAAACATACATTTAACCATCAATTTTATGGTTAATAAGAAGCACAAACTAGCAGCAGCTAACTGCTCTGCAGTCTAGGAGCACTTCCTGCAGGAATATCTACATATATTTGCCATATATGAACTTCAATAACATTTTTGAGACTACAGTTGCTTAAAGATGACAAAAGTCCAATTCGGTTGTGGCGATACTCAAACTAGCCATTTGCTCATCAATCAGAACCTTATTCCTCTAAACTGTAGCGGTTCAAAGATTTATCTAAAAATGGTAAAGGTGTTAACTGTTTATAACCTTTCCTCAAAACCCCATTTCAACAAATCCAAACAGTGCCTTCTATGGTAATGAGTGTATTTTGGTAGTAAATAAACATTTATTTCTGTACATAATACAACCAGTGCGTTACAGATTGTACTGGGTACTTACCTGATACATACCTGATGCCTACCTTGTTTGTACTTGATACCTACCTAGAATGTACCTGGTACTCACAGTGTTCTTGCCTACCAGGTACATTCCTGAAACATATCTTATATTTCCCTGTTTTTTACAGGGTATGTACCAAATGCGTACACAGTACTCCTGAAGTAAGTACCATATACAAAAGTGTATGTACCCAGTACTTTGGCGACACTTTCTGAGCTGTATTTCTACCTAATACTCATGCGTCCAAATGGTGCTCAAGTCAGTATAAGATTTACTGTTTTGCCTTCATCTAAGGACCAATATGAAAACCACTGTATATCCTGATGTAAAGGTTTGCTTGACTTGCGTACACACCCCTCAGTGTGTGTTCGTAGCCCATATTTTGACTTTATGTTTTGTCCTGTTGGGTGACTTATTCTACCCCATTTTTGTAACATTTAAAAAATCTTTCCTGTGTGGGGTGAAAAGACAAGACAATCCTATGCTAGTCCATAAGTACTGACCCTGAAGAACCATTATTTCGGTGTTCTAAAACGCAAGAAAAGAAAATCTTGAATTTGTGAACAAAGGAAAAGAGGAAGAAGAAAAAATGTCAGCGCCTGAAGAGAAAGAGCGCCTTAATTGAGAGTGAATCAACCTCTGCTTCTAGCTGAATGTCAAAAGGTGTGATTGGAGATTGGGTGCAGATAATGAATAATTACTTCAAAGTTGGTAGACTCGCCGTGCGTGTGTAGGTGGTTTACTGTGCTGCCTTCCTGTGTACTGGCAGGTGCAGGGATGTGTGTGCTCACTCTTGCATCAGACTTGCACATTGTGTTTGTGAAGAGTATGCTTTGAATGGAGAAAAACCAGCTGGAGTGTCATGAATTTCAATAAAATTAGTCCTCTGCCCCTTTCTGCTACACTGAGTTTTAACAAACCTAAAACTATAGTGTAACTGGGATTTTATTTGAGTGACCCTTTTATTTCCTCTTATAATCTATGTTTTTTTTTTTTTAAGTAAAATGCACTGTTTTGTAGCACTCATTGTTTTTAATGCATCTTCAGGGACAAGTTAACCAGTATGGCTTATGTGGGGCTTGAAAGAGAGTTTTAAAGTTTAAGCTTTATGTTCCATTAGCATCGAGTGACTATCAGGTCTACCCAACCCGGTTAAAATTCTAGGCCAGCCCATCATAGACTATTTCCACATTTTTCCCACCATTAATTAGACATCATTCTTGTGCAGTTTAACTGAACAAAAAAAAAAAGTTCTTAGGAAACCTTAAAGAGGTGCAATGAATAGGTTACACAAAACTAACAACAAAGTCCGTGCTCAAAAATCCAGGTATACAATCCAACTTTTTTCAGTCAGGTCTTCTGGATAGTTTCTTTTTTTTGTGATGAAACGTTTCGCCTTCGATCCGGAAGGCTTCTAGCTTTGTTGTCTAGCTCTGGCTTTGTTGTTTTCAACCAGTTTGACATGACTGTTAACAAGGAAGAGGGCTGGCAATGGAGGAGGGTGCGTGACAAAGTGACCATCTTAGCACCAACATAACTGGTTTGTTCCACTTTGGAGTAAGCTGTTGGAGGAAGAATCAGTTTTGTGTTGTGTGTTTCCTTGACTGATGAAGCATTCCGGATTGAAGGCAAAACGTTTCAGCACAAAAAAAGAAACTGTCCAGATGACCTGACTGAAAAATGTTGGGTTACACAAAACTCTCTACAACAGTACTCTGGTTCCAATGTGTGTTTGGGGTCATTGTCATGGTCAAAATTAAAATACCTTTTCATTTTCACCTTTCTTGACAACTCCCAAAGTTATTAAAAACTGTTCCACCATTCATTAATCCATCCACCATGAAATGAACCCCCATTCCAGCTGCAGAGAAAAGAAAAGTTGCGTCATGCTGCTGCCACCACCCTGTTTCGCCGTGGGTATGGTGTTTTATTGGTGATTTTCTGTATTTTTCCTGCACCAAACAAACTTTTGAAATATTTAAACTGTCTGTGGTGGGTTTCTTTCTTCTTCTTTTTTTTTTTTACAATACCATGTATGGTAGTCCGGACATAGCAAATCAAATCAGCTTTATTTTTAATGCACATTTAAAATCAGCCTGTGTTGACAAAAGTGCTGTTCATTGAAACCCCAAATCACAGCCGTAAAACATTACAATGAAAACTAAATCAACATAAAACGAGGTTATGGAACGTGATAAAACAGGAGAATGTTGTTGCATGTAGTTGACAACCAGTGTTTGTCGGAAATTTCTGCAGCTCCTTCAGTGTTGCTGTAGGGCTTTAGGCAGCCTCCCTGACCAGCTTCCATCTTCCCTGTCGCATAGCGAAGACAGGGAATTGGTAATGCCCTCTGTCCATTTGTGCATGTTGTGAACATGAGAATATAAAATAAGTAAGGTACCTACTTCCACTTTGGTGTGAGGCTATCTAGACATTACAAAGTTTCCTTTTGAGAATTGGTTTGCCATGTCAAAGTCCAAGATGATTGCCACCGTACACTAATCATTGGAAGAAACTGCTTTCTAGTTTTTATATTGCTTATAGGTATGGTTCCCTTAAATGATCAAGGTGGTCCTTGGGTCCCCCTTTTGGTTCTTTCACTGCTCCTGGTGGTGGATTAAAATTGCTCTCTTCATTCACCAGGAACTGTCAATCTGTGCCGCCTCAGCCAATCAAAAAATAACCAAAATAAAACCCTAAATTTGTTCTTATACACGTGGAACCACTTGAATATCTTGCACCATAAACATTAAGGGTTACTTGCATTCATTGTTCAGTTATTGCCAGAAAAACACTCATCTTGAAAACTACAAACATTCACTATTCAAATCCTTCAAAGACAGGGGACATTGGCATACTTCTGGTCTTTTTATTTTTTTATTTTTGGAGATGAATGTTTTGTACCCTTCTCCTGACTGATACCTTTCAACAGTGAGATCCTTTTGATACATAAGCATCCTGTGAATCACAGCTTTTGCTGTAGGATGCTAGTTAGTCAGTATCAGGTAAATTATACAAGGACAGCTGAACTTCATTAAATAGGTGGCAGGTGCGTAGCCTAGAAGAAGTGCAAGTATTCGTTTGAAGGTTTGTAGGTGACCAAATTTGTGCTCCTTTTGAAGTGTGTTCACATAAATATTCTAGTTAATGGGAAGAAATGTTTCTATTACCAGCAGCAGATCAGAGTTTTTATAATAACATGTTGGACCACCTGCTGTAATTTAACAGCTTGGAAATGGCTTGTCTCATTTTTCCAGGGGCGTTCATGCTCAGTTTACTGGTAATAGTGGTACAAGGATTGAACTGCTTTGCTTGACCAATTAGTATTCAATTCATAAATCTTGCCATTGGCATTTTTAAATCTTTAATGGCTCTTAAATTTTCATCTTGTCTTGAGGAAGTTCTTTTTTTCTTCTTCTTCCTCTTTTTTTTTTAATCCATCCTTCCTTCGGCGCTTCAGCTTTGTTGTTGGGAGATTAAAGAAGGAATAATAGCCGTTCAATGGTATCGTTATTTTTATGCAGGGGAGATGGGAGCTAAATGGTTGCAGATAGTTGCCACCAGCAAACACCTTTTACACCCACAGGAATGTCTGGCTGCTGTGTGTTCGAATTTGTCTGCGTGTTGGCTCATTTATCACGACAATTAAAGACTTTAGCCTCAAGACATGCAACAACTGGCCTCTGGTCCTGTACGCATTAGTCGTGATTCATTTTACGTGATTAATTCTCCCTCTAGACAAAAGGAAATGACCACAAAAACAAGATGACTAATTCTACCGCCGCTAGTTCACCATCTGTGATCAGAAACATAACTTGAATAAACTGGGAATAGTCAGAAAATTGTTCGGTAAATTGATTAAAATAAAGTTTTCAGATCAGATTTAGAGTAAAACTGAACAACCGTTAATTTTCTCTGCACTTTCTCATGGGATTGTGAGATTTGTTGTTTCAGTGCTGAACTCCCTTTGATCTCCCTCGACTCCTACCATTGACCATATCACCACCTCAAACAGCCACAGTCCCGAGCCGCTTTAGTTTACCTTCATTTCCCCCTTCACTAAATCAATCATTTGGACTCCCCAGGCCATGGTGGAGACGGTCAACAACTTGCTGCAGCCGAAGGCCCAGGCGGCGTGGAGGGAGCTGAGCACCAGCGAGCAGCTGAGAGCCGCCACCATGCTGCTGGACACGGTGGAGCAGGGGGCCTTCGTTCTGGCTGACAACCTGCTAAAAACCGACATCGTGCAAGAGAACACTGACAACATCCGTAAGTCTATTATCACACATCTACATTCCTACATTTTACACACCACTTGCAGTTCATCTGTGAGCCGTGGTACGTTTTGTGGAGGATCATACCTGATAGAGATTATTTGAGAAGCAGATTAATGTTTACTGTGACCGTCTTGTTTTGACTCGTAACAATGGCTTCTTGAGATTTGGCAGTTGTTATCACTTTGCTGAAATGTCCTCGCAGGTCTTCGCTCGGTGCCTACAAGAATTAATCAAATATACAGTAGTCCCTCATTTATCACAGGGTGTAGGGGACCACGCCTCCCGTGATAATTGAAAAACCGTGATGTAGGGATACAGTAGTCCACGTTCAAGTTTCACTCCCAGTCTCCCTCCTTCGGTGTAAACTATTTAAATTTAAATACTGTAATATATTTAAAAAATGGCTTTGTTCTTTTACACTGTGTAACTCCTACCCAATTGAATATTTTTAGTCCCTGTTCAGTTTCAGTCCAGAAAAACACTCCTCCTGAAAACTGCAAACCTTCACTATTTAAATCCCTCAGCGGGGGGGACATCAGTGTACAGCTTGTTTTGGCTTTGCAGTGCGGCCTTCATTTGTGTGAGCTCATATTATTACGGAGCATGGTTGACTTGATATGCGATGTACATAAACTTCCAGGGGCACTTAAATCAGGCTGCCTCATGACTTTACCTGCTATAGACAGTGATCATCAATATGCACAATATTAGTATCCCATAGTAGTGTGTGGACTGCAGTAAATCATAGGCTGTAGTATTCCAAGTGTAGTAATAGTATTTGAGAGCCTCAAACACACGAGGAGTGCTGTGAGTAGGGATGCACGATATTGGATTCTTGGCCGATATGTTAAAAATTATTTGGCCGATACCAATACTGATAATTTTTTTCCTGGACCTACTTACAGAGACTAATATAATAATAAATACTATTTGTTTTATGACAACGAAGAATGTCTTTGCAATGATAAATAAGATTGTAATTGCATGTTTTTTTTCTATTTTTTGCATACATGTTAACTAAATAAATCTAAATTACCAAATTGGTGGATAAAACCGCCCATAATCTGCACCACCTCAGACAAGCCAAATGATTAAAAAAAAAGAAAAAAAAATCCACCTTCTTCTTATTCACCGTGTAACTCCTACCCACTTGA